CTCGGTCTCCATCGTGAACTGGATGTCAGGAAATACAGAGTTCAGGAGATCGCGGAATTCCCGGACCATATTCCGCTCAATGGTGACGATGATATCGTCAACATACCGAGTCCAACATTTTGGCCTAGAGTTTGCGAACACGTGAGTTTATAATTTTTGAAGCACTGCCTCTGCGATGAAACCTGAGAGCGGCGACCGCATTGGCGTCCCCTTGATCTGTTCGTATGTCACCCCGAGTGGCATATATGCTTAAATCGATCTGTCAGAGGACCCACGCATCCGTCCATTTTGCCATTAGAGCTCTCTCTCGAGCCTCCACCGCGCGGCGGCTAGGATGTATGTAGAAGGACATAACCAGCAAAGACATGAGGCACTAGGAAGGCCTTTTCAGCATTATTAGGCGTCATCGGCTAGTGGTATCCAACCCCCAAACGATTGCTCACAGTTAAATTTAGCTACGCATGGGGATGACTGCTGTCATGCGCTTCGGGCTCTTCTCCTCAGGGAGTGGCGGTGGCGTATGTGTGACAGTTGCCATTGATCGGGTTTGCATCGTTCGTTGGTTGGGCCCGGTCGTCGTCATGCCACGTTCACACTTTTCCCCTTTAGGTGGAGATTGCGGTTGCTATGTTCGCATTCACTTCTCGGTTGCTACCGACCTGGCAGTCAACATCAGCGTCGTCTGATATCGGCATGGGGTCGTGTTCACCCATGCTCACATTCTGTTCGCGCTCTCGCCGGTGGCTGCTGTGCCGATACCAGTGCCTTCATTCCTATCGGAAGGTCGAACTGCGCCATCACTGTTTGTGCACAGACCATTGTCATGTGCGTCTGTGTTCAAGCCCGACAGGAGGTCTTTTTGGTTCACGTTCCTCACGGTGTCGCTGGCGGCTGCATTGGTGTCTGGGGTAGGTTACTGCACGCCTGTATTCTGGCCCGGTGTTGGGTTGCTGGTCATCGCGATCCGTCTGACTTCCTGTCGGCGATTTTATTGATTGAGCCGCACGCGTAACGCATGGTTAGCCGCCGGGAGAATCGTACAGCGGTTGATGGAATTTGGCGCGGTATGCCATTCTTCAAGTGTTTCTCTGGCTGTCTGGTCACTAACTTGGCCTAGCGAAGGTGTGTCCAGAAGCCGCACAATGTTCCGCCACCGACGAGAGTTGATCCATCCTGTCGATTGCCCTTGCGTGCTCGCTCATACGCGTCTGTATTCGCTTACCGGCCTCCCTAATGTAGTTGGCCTCACAGGAACTACAGTGGACGCGATAGACACAACTGCCCTCTTTTCGTAGCTCTTCAGGGCTTCCTCTGTGCATTGTCTTGCTACATGACGTGGTATAGAAGTGCACATGGAAACGACGTTGAAGGCGACCATTATCTCATCATCGTAGACCGTAATTTTCTCTTTTTTTCTGTAGAAACTCCGTAGAGTTCTGAATGGAAGTTTCGCAATCGTTCGTAAGATGATAAATTTGTCGGAATAAACACCTAGAGATTTTGTAGTTCGCGGCACCGTTTAATGATATTATCGTTCGCAGAAGAACTTCTGATTTGTGGACTTTGGGTAATCCGTTGATCTTCGCGATGTTTGCCTCAGATTGTTTTAGGCATTCTGTGGTGTCTTCTGAAGTAGTTTGGTGCATGCAAGACGTTTTAGTACTTTTTCAATGGTAAATATTTGCTTTTGGTGGTGTCTGTTCGAAGTATTGTTTGCTTGTAGTCTGAATTGTTCAAGGTAGCAGTTCAGCCTATCTTGTCGGCGGGAAGTATGATTATATTTTCATCAGTTTTTAACTTCCTTAGTGCTTTCTTTTCTTCAGGGGATAGAGATGAAAGCTGATTTCGATCATTTAAGGCAGGGACAGCACTGCTTCAGACAGCAAACTGATCATAGTCGCTGGGGTCTCCTGTTAATAGGATAAAATCCAAGCCAGCTAGAAAGTCCAAGTACTTAGAATCAGAATGGTTGTATTTCATCCCTTTGGAAAGCACGTTTTCTTCTGTTGCATTGAGGGCTCTGGAAGATACGTTCACAACCTTTGCTACACACTTTTGGTTTGTAACAGCTAGCTGAGCAGTGGTCTTCGATTTTTGTCTAGAAGATTCTTTTTCTTTCAAGTTCAGAACTGGAAAAAGGATTGGCAAGTGTGTTCTCTAACTGAACGCTCTGCATCTATCTGCCATTCCGATGAAAAAGCGGCAAGAAAAAAGGGCAGTAGCGTATAGATTAGAGCGTTAACTTTCTAACGGGGTCGCAATTTCGAAACTCCGATGGGGCAGTGATATATATATAGAGCACAACTCTGGGCTGGTTAATAGTGGCTGAAGACGCGCAAAAAACACCAGAAACGAACATCCTAGTCCCCGTTGTCGTTTTCGGCAATGTCCTTCTGAGTACATGCGCTCACCACGAACCGGTTAGGGAATTCACCCATTTTAGTTAAGTGCTTTTTGTTTGCTCAGGAGCGCTAGCGCCATCTAGCAAAACTACTCTGTGGCCGCCTGGAGTGACAACGTCCTAATGGTTATCAGCCAACTATACGTAACCTCAGGGGCAACCAACCCAGAGGGTTTAACTCGTGGCCTTGTTAGTTAGAATTTTAACGCTTGTAACACTCCGCAACAGGCTATATGCAAAGCCGGTTCCCATCGGGAAAAATCGAGTGCAGCATAGAAGACAAGGGAGACCGGAAAACAATTGGTTGTTTTTCTTCTATCTTACCATAGACCTTGGCTTACGCAGCAAATTAGCTCATGTCAAAAATACAACTTTTCTTTCTGCATTTCAGAACCTTAACTACGCAAGGGAGATAAATGAAACTTAGAGACATTACATGACCAGGTGGCGTGTTATAAAACGAATAGTATTTTCCCCATTCTCCTGCTAACCATCTTTTCATTTTATTGTGTTCTTTTGTTTCTCATCTTCATCTATGTGCATCCATTTGCTTTTTTTCTTCCGAACACTTCTTGAAATTTAACGACATTATTTCCTAACCTAATAAATGATGATATCTCTCGTTGCATACGGGTTATCAGCATCTCTTCGCCTACGGGATAAAACGTGTTTGAATTTGTCGAAATACAACCAAGGAAATATAAGCGACATGTAGCACACCAGCCAGAGTCTGTATATTCTAAGGGTAGGGCTGGCTACCCTGCTACAAAGAATCTTGCCAATAAGAGCGAACTAGCGAGTCCCAGGAAGTAATTAAGAAGAAGACGACTCGAGCGCTAGGACAATTCTTTTATTCAACTGACTTTTTGAGATCCATCGCGGATTTGTCATCAGATACATAGTCCACTTAGTAGCAGGTAGGGTAGCGTATGCACAAGAGTTTCCGGTATCTATAAAATACAAATATTACTTGTCTGTTGAACGGCATGCGGGGTCTGACCTACTGACCTTTCATCACGGGTGGTGGATTGGGTGTAATGAGTGTTGGGTCATCTGGTGCTGCGGTTCTGGCGTAGGGTGACGCGGTTGCCCGTCCGTTCCCCAAGCAGTGACTAGCTATGGCAAAATTGAGTCTCAGCACCGAATATGGATTGGAGAAAATCGTTGAACTTGTTTACGGATTGGAAACCATTGAGCCATGATACAAGTAATTCTCAGCTCATCCGAGTGTCACCTCTTGCGAGAATTTCAGCCTCATCAAATATGCATGTGGGGCCGGGTCTCAACGAA